GTTGGTTGTGCTGTAGTGGGTTGAGTGATCAGGCACTTTTTGATAAAGTTGCGTGAATATCCATTTTGTTGGAAGATGTTAAATAGGTGGTCAGTTTCCTTTTTCTGCTGTTCTGGGTTGCTGCAGTGCATTTGTGCTCATCTGAATAACATTCTTACACAGCTCGTCTTCTGGGAGGTGGGGTTGTTACTTTGGTAATGGAGCACTTGGTTAGTGTGTGTTGTTTTTTTGATAGACTTGTGTTTCTAATTTGCCATTATTTCCTCTGTTGATGTGGATATCCAGGAAGGGTAGTGTGTTGTTGTTTTCTTCTTTCCTAGTGAATTTTATTCCTTTGAAGATGCTGTTGATTATTTCATGCACATGCCACTTGCTCCTTTGTTTATCTATCTTCCTCACATAGAGTTGCTTCCACTGTTTCTGTTGTGGAGCCTCCTTTGTTTGAACTTATAAATCCCCATCCTTTCTCCTCAACTTGCTGAATTTTTCTTCAGGGACTGCTATGAGCTTGTATTTGCTGCAAATATATCCCATAAAAAGCACACTGAATAAGTGAAGAGGAAGACCTCATAGGAAATTAAGGAGGAGTTCCTAATAGATTATCCAAAATAATCCCATATTATTTTGCCATAAAAATTGCTGGACATAATTCCAGATTCCTACATGTCATCTTCCCTTTTTCTTCTTAGGGCACCACAAATAGAAAGGCTTTTATTTTATACCTCCAGCATAGATACTCTGATGTCCATCCTTTCAGATACATTCTTTGGGGAGTCCAGTACATCCTAAATACATTTTTTTGATGAATTAACTTTAATCTCAGATCTGTTGATACCATTTTAACATTTTTAAGGACATGAATCCATTGATGGGGCTTCATCAGAGATTCTAGTTCTTTAGTTAATATTTTAAATATCCCAGAAATTCCCACCTTAAAAATATTCTTGAGCTTTTGATAGAGATATGTAATAGGTTTTAATTCTGTTGTGGATTCCATCAGGTAAGAGAGCAACTCAAGTGCCACTGAGACAGCCAAAACATCTGGTCCATATTGAGCCCAGTACAAATTTTTGATTTAGAGGGAAAATCTATTAGGAACTCCTCTTTAATTTCCTATGAGGTCTTCCTCTTCACTTATTCAGTGTGCTCACTCCCTGGAAGCCTTCTTATATTTCCAAAGACCATGACACCAGACATGAAATAACTTGAGTAGAATAAACAAGGATAAACCTAGATGCAATAAAATGCACAAAATCATATAATATATTGACAGCTGCTGAGTCAATATGAAATTATTGTCTAGTGGGATTAGACATTAAATATGTCTAATTAATCCCAGAGAGGATTAATTAGACATATTTTAAACAGATATCAGATATATCAGTTTGTTGACAGGGTGGTAATAGTGGCAGGAAGTCAAGCAGAGTGTTACGGTTAATAGTTTTATCACTAGAAAGTAGAGTGTTAATACAGCATATTTGCCCATTTAGTACCACTGCAGGAGGAGGAAGAATATACAGTATGTATCTGAAATCAGATGATAACGGGGAAATGTGAATTGTGTTCAACTAATTCTGAGCAGGAACAATTGATCAGCCTGAAATTGCTTTACTTTGAAAATATTCAGGCATTCTTAACCTACCCTGAGGTTCACAGATTTGGGGATTGCATTGGATATAGATATCATAAGTACAATATTTTAGGAGGCTAAGGACTATTTCTGTCCAAATGTTACAATGCTGGGCCATATATGTAATTATGCAATTATGCAAATTATACCTGTCTTTTAAATAAATTCAAAAGGTCTGGGATTTGCTGCTATCATATTAAATACAGATAGGAATATACTATTTTTTTCCTCTCTTTTGTCATTTTTCAAAGAGAGCAGCCATTAACCACAAAACAGCTTTAATTGTAACAAAAAGTTCCATGTTAACTCTGGCTTTGCATGCTCTAAAGGTCAGACCACTTTACAAATAAAATCCTTTGCAGTGTGTAATGAGATTCAGATGTTCCCACTCTTAAACATTTATTAAGGGTAAGGTAATTTTTCCAATATTACTGGATATATTGCAAGATATAATGGAATTTCATGCAGTGGATCTTCATCCTCTATTCTCTGTGCTACATTGCTCTTTCCACCAGACTTGATGGAATTGCATTATAAGTGACTCTATTAGAACGATTATATTTGAATAGCCAGATATATACTAGTAAGTGTAATTTGAAAATATAGAAATGTATTCTACTTCCTATCTGTTTTTAGAAATTCCCTCCCCAATTAAGGCTCATTCAGGTATGTAAAAGAACAGCACATTTCCTGCAAAATATTCCTACTGAGTGCATATGGTTTGGTTTGTTCAGTGTTGGAATACTGGCCTCTCTTTTAGCTTATAGTTGATGGTTTGGCTGATCTATAAAGAGACTAATTTTTAAATGAGTCTGGAAATAACTTTCTATCATTTACTTTGAAAGAGAAGCTGATGTAGAAATATCCTCTTTTCAGATTTTTTCACTACTCAGGAAACGTAGGACTACCCACAGACAATATATTTGATAGTACCAATATATCAAATATATATATTGGATAGCACCTAAATAATATATCAAGCTCTGAAAATATTGAAATATATTTATAACTACTTTTTTCTCTATTCCAATTTTTGTACTACATTAAGTCAATGCAATTTCCATACTATACTGTTTTACTTTCCTCTCCATCCCTTTCTCACAGGTAGAAATATAAGCAAGCACTTTGGCTTAATTACAGCTATCAGGAAGTAATTATTTCAAGCTTGTGCCCATTCAATCAATTCCTCTTCTCCCTTTAACTTTTCCCTTTAGCTCTCCAAACACCTTTGGATACACTGGCAAGGTTCATTGGTCAGCCACCCAACCAGTAAATTCTAATCTTCCACCAACATCGCCATCAATAATTTCACGAATGTATGGGTAAGTGTAAGGCACTTTACTTAATTTGCTCAGTTGCATTATAAAGAAAATCCTAATTATGGTTATTTCATTAAAGAACAATTAAATATTAAGCATGACATTTCTTTGGTTTAGTAAAAAAAATGGGAGTCAAATCCCATAGCAACTCTAAGCGAGTATTCAGCATCAGTACTTGCTTCAGGATTCCTGCATTCCATTTGAAATTTGGGGTGGAGTACGGAGCACCAAAGTACATATGGCATGCTACAATGTTTCATATATCTTTCTCTCTCTTTTAAACAACAGCAGAGGTTAGAGAAAGTTGTATCCTGTTAATACTATCATTAATTTTTTTACTCAGTAACATCCATTTAATTGGCCCTTCACTAAGAAAAGCAGCGCAAGTCCTAACCTGGCAATAGATTTCCATAGGTCAGTGCAGAATGTCCTTTTGTTCAGAGCCTAAATATGTCGGGGTTTGAACAGAATACACTACAGGATGTTAAGCACAGGTATGCTATGTAATACTATTCTAGGGAAATCTTGTTCTTCCTCCTTTCAAGAGTAGGCATATGGCGATCAAATTTCAAAAAGGAGATATTATTTGGCAGGTGCAACTGCTATTCAAGAAATATTCTTTGACTTCAAGCCTTTATTTTACACCTCACCTTTCATAACATTTTCAGTTATTTCTTTTCCCAAAGTTTACATTCACATTTTTAACATTTTTTTCAATTAACTTATATCTCTTAAGCTTTGCTAGTTCCCACAAAAGTCTCATGATAGTTGTAAATGAAACTATATCTATCCTATAATGTCTTTGTTTGCTATGGTAAACAGGTCTTACAAATTGAAGATTTCTGAGGGAGCACTAAATTTTTATCATAGATACATCAAATTGTTCAAAAGAAAAAGAACAACAACATTTGGGGACAATATTGGTTATTAAAATGGTATTACTGGAGTTAATCAGTCTCAGATTAAATATAAACATCCTTTGTAAAAAAAAAAAATTCGTCTTTGCATTAGCACTGTTTTCTTGTAAGAGTTCTATAATATAGAAACCGTAGGTTTGGTGGAAAGCTATATTTCCACCAAAATGAAATATTTCATTTACAAGCAAATGAAAATGAGCTTGTAAAATCCCTCATTTGTGCATATATGGTATACAAACTATATGGACAGTATATAACTCTTTCTTAGTTGATTGCCCTGTGTTATCTCTCCCAACCCACCATATACACTGAATATAATTAGTATATTGTGTTAACATTTATATATGTGCCATAGTAGCAAGATACCAAAGCAGCTGTGTCCTCTAGAGTGTGCATAATGCTTTTCAAAAGCTAAAGCAGAATTCTAAACTCATATTAGTTTTGATTTGCAGTGTTATGATATCCCAACAAATTCTATCTACTTTCTCCTGACATGAATGGGGATGATTGAGCTTGAAATTCACATTCATATAAAAGTTACTTTTCTTGTCATTACAGGTACTTAGCTAAACATGGACAGCCAAAAGAATTCCCACATTGGGGGCCCTTGTCACAGATCGTTACAACCACTGATCCACAGAATTCTTTCAATAAGAAGGAAAAAGAACGACTTACAATTTGAAAGAATATTTGTCTCAGTAGCACAATGCTGAATTTCAGAAGATCAATGGGAAATAAGAAATAGTCACATGGATTACTTTTTAAAAATGGGCAGGAATCAAAACTCCTTCAGTGTTTGTCTTTATCACATGGGAAAGTCGTGTTCCACATAATAATGCATTCAAGTACATATCAACATATTTTAATAAAATACCACATTTTCCCACATTTTTATGAAAATCCCATAACTCATTAACTAAAATGTATTAATTTCCAAACTTTATAATTATTTCTTCATGCCTAGTCACAGAGAAGTGCCTTGTAGTATAGTGTTCATTTCTTACCTCTGGGACCGAATGATACAATATATGGAGTGAGGTCAGTAGAACTCTCTGATAGAGCATCCATTCTTTAATGGACTGGATTTCTTAATCACACGCATGTAAATCCATTAAAAATAATTGCAATCCTAATCCTACATAAGGATTGACTTAAATAAGACAAATTCTTTCGATTGCAGCCTCTTGCAGTCTTTTCACTTTGCTTTACACTTGCATGATCTACCAAATAAAATTCAGCCTATCAACCATTCCATGCTTGCTTACTAGGGCTTTGATAATTGTCCTGGGTTGCTGTCTGAGGCATGAAAGGATGTCAAGCAACTTTCAAACCGAAGTACTTGGCAAGTGGGCTGCATTTGGCTTAGCAAAACAGTTTTTGTGAGCCTGACTTCAACTCTTAATTCTCAGTTCACTAAGACCATTCACAAGAAATGACATAATCTTGTCATATTATGGCTTGTTACAGTTTAATGTGAACTTGTGGTTTGTAAATCATTGCTTATGATTTAGTACATTGTATGAACCATCCAGTTTGATTTATTCAAATTGTGGGTTAGGACTATATGTAACCCCAGCCAGTGTGTTACCAAATGTGTCAAAATACATTTTGAATTATATGCATTATTTAAATTGGAATGCAAATCTGTGCATATACTCAGAAGTATGTCTGATGGAGTTTATCCCATGTCAGCATCTACTGGATCAAAACTATGAGGATCCTTTTCCAGAGAGGTACAAAACGGTTAATATAAAACACCAAAGTGAAATGTAATGAGACTGTGGAGGATAGGTGATGGGATATCTTGCATGTTGCATTTTAAAATTTAAAACTAGGGGGGAAAAGAAGCCAGAGCAGGGCTGAAAGGTTTGGGGAAGAATATAACCTTTTCTCAGCATGCCTATTCTCTGTTCTAAGTAGCATTCCCAGAGTGGCTATGTCTTTTCAGAATGAAATACATAGACCTTGCTTTAGATACCCTTCAGCTGCTTTTACACTTTGTTGGTGTGAAGATGATTTATTTCATTTAGTTTGGTCTTCATAAACCCAGAGTTTGGGTTTTGCTTGACAAGAAATGCAAATAGGGAAAAAAATAATATGTACTTTACAGGCAATGATAGCCTGTATTGTAATGTCCTTCTTCAAATGGCCATACCCAGTTCAATCCATCCTATTTTTCTAGAGTATTGTTTCTTTAAACCCATATGCAAACTTTGTTAGTTCATAAAGTAGTGAAAATGTCTTCCATTTGCCTTTATAAAATTATTTAGCATGTATGGTATATAGGAACAGTAATGTATTTTGAAAAGAAAAGTTTTTCACTTGTGAGAAATAAATCATGTGAGCATTTGAAAATGATAACATGACAGTGAGTGACAAATGAAACAGAAATGAGAACTATGCTTTATTCATATGCTGGTTTTGTACCTCTTTAATTGTTCTGCTGTCTCAAAAGAATGCTAGGATTTATAGTCAGACCAAGTTAATGACTTTAGATATCATTGGCCTCCACAGAAACCCATGATTCCATGGCTCCCTGGCAGCGGGGCGGTGGTAACACTGGCAGTGCTGGGGCTGAAGTAGAGGCCTGGGGCCTTCAGCAGTCTCAGTTGGCCACTGCTGCCCCCAGACCTCTCCTTTAGCCCTGCTGCTGCCACCAAGTGCCGTCTCAAGCCCCACACTGCTGCCAGCCACCCTAGCGACAAAGCATAAAGCCCCAGCCACGCCTGCCATGCTGTGCTCCACCAGCCCTGCCGCACCCAGCTGACCTTCACTGTCTTCTTCCTCCCGCTGCTGACAAGGCATGCCCGGCCTGGCCATATGCGAGGCAGCTGCTGGCCTCTCCAGGCCTTCTTCCCAAGGCCATGCACACCATTCTCCAAATTGGACCTGCCCCTCTTATGATGCCTGCATGATTATGACAGGTACCCCTGGGGGTGATGTATCCTTAGTTCTCTCTCTGGGTTCTTTTTTTTCTGGTTATGTGCAGGCGTGATGACAGAGTAACTCGAAAGGCAAACAGTAGGTTTTCGACCAAGGCTTTACTCAATGCTCCAAAAGGGTTTGATAAGATAAGCTGCAAATTAAAAGTGAGTAACTCGAAAGGCAAACAGTAGGTTTTCGACCAAGGCTTTACTCAATGCTCCAAAAGGGTTTGATAAGATAAGCTGCAAATTAAAAGTGAGTAACTCGAAAGGCAAACAGTAGGTTTTCGACCAAGGCTTTACTCAATGCTCCAAAAGGGTTTGATAAGATAAGCTGCAAATTAAAAGTCCTTCCATACGGACAGACAGTCAACATATAGAAATAAAAGCAGGAGTGTAAGCCCTCCTTGCCTGAGTAGCCTTACATAACGTGTCTTGGTAGCGAGAGGAGAAAACAAGCGCCCCCCCCCCTGCAGCCGAGGGAAGACTTGAGATCGTAGCTTTTCCGGAAAACTATTATGATGCAGACCAGCAGCAATTCGAGGTTGACCTTTGCTTCTCCAGCGCTCCCCCCTCCTCGCACTCCTCCAGGGCTGATCTTAAATACCCTTTCAGGATTGGCCTCCACCCCTCTCCACAGGGATTAACAATTTAGAGTCCCACTTTGATTTACTCAACAGAGTTTACAAAAGTTACAATTCGGGATACAAACCGGGGCTCTTTCCCATGATCTTATCTAGTACAAAGGCTTATGGCTATCTAACAACTAAAGTTAATTTTCTAGTGAGCCATAAATGCCTTGTCCATGTCACATTGAAGTATGAATCAGGAAGTTTTTTCCATCTGCTATCGAGAACAGAGAAATATGCAAAAAAAGGATGGTTATTTCTCACGACCCTGGATTTCCATCACAATGATGAAGGGCCCCTGCGGTCATAACTGTGGGCAATCATGTGACCACGGGGGTGCTGCAACAACCATAACTTCAGGGAATGGGTGTAAGTACCATTCGTTCAGTGCTGCCATAACGTCAAGCAGTTGCTGAACGAATGGGCATTAAATGAAGACTACCTGTACTATGGAAAGTGCTCCATTCCTGAGCCAGTAAGATTCAGCAACCATTATACTTATCCTCAACTTACGACAGTTGGGACTGGAACTTCCATCACTATCGGGTTCAGTCCAAGAACAACAGCAAGACAGTCCAGAATCAGTTCAGCTCCTTTATTAGCTTACATCTAATAGACAGAATCTCGCCAGACTAATTCTAATCTCCAACAATAGCAACTATAACCATGATGCCCTTAGGGAGGGGCCAGTCTCCTCCTCTTGACTTTCCCACACTCTGGCTGGGGGCTGAGGAGATGTTTTCCATGGAACCACTCTTCCTCCTCCCAGCAACCTTGAAGCTCCATTCCAGAATCCTCCCTGCTCACGCCTTCCATCACATCACCCCTCTCTTCAAAATCAGACTCCCCCTCTGAGTTCTCATGGGAACTGGGCAGCGGCAGTAGAAATGAAAGCGCAGGTGGCGAGCTTCTGTCTGTGCTCCCTGGCGCCTCTCCCAGCTCAGGTTATTGGTTCTGCAAAACAGCTACAGCATTAGTAGAATCAGCCCCCCCTCCCCGCCAGGAACTGCAATCCAGAAGTGGAAGGTTGCGGGCTCTGCGTCTCCGCCCTCCCCGACCCCACGGCCCTCACCAAACCTTCCTCAAGCACAGTGTCGATGCCTTCTGCTTGCTGTTTAACCTCTGGGGCGCCGGGTAGCACATGAGGCTTCGGCTTGCCGGGGAAATGCCGATGGAAGTCACTGACCAACACTGGGGCATGCACATTCTTCACATTCTCCCAGGAACACTGCCTCTGGATAGCCCTTCCAATGAACCAGATACTGAATTCCCTTTCCCTTCCTAAGAGAATCCAAAATTGCTTCCACTTCGTACTCCTCTCCTCCCTTGACTAAGACTAGTTGGGGTGGGGGAACCTGTGTTCTCAAAGGACTTGGTGGAGCCTCCTTAACTAGTAAGGAGTGGTGAAAAACAGGATGGACCTTCATGGAAGGCAGCAGCTATAAATGGAAAGCCAGCTGGTTCATTTGTTGCAGCACTTTAAAAGGCCCAATGAACTTACAGTTCAACTTCTTAGAGGGCCTGGTAGAAGCTAAGAACCTAGTAGACAGCTACAACTTGTTCCCCACTGAAATCTGCAGACCCCTCTGCCTGTGGGCATCAGCAGACCTCTTGTACGCCTCCTTTGCCCTTGCCAGATGGTCCTTCAACAGCTGCTGAGCTGCTTGTTGCTCTCTAAGAAAGTGTGCTGCACCAGGCACACCCCCCCCCCCCCCTGAACAGTTGCTAACAACACTTGTGGGCTCACCCCGTACAGCACTTGAAAGGGGGACCAGTGAATAGATTGGTTGTTCAGAATCTCTCCAGATCAGAAGAGGTCAGAAGAGGACATCTCCCACATGTGCTCTAGATGGCTGCTCCTCACAAGGAGACCTCAAGACAGTGGTCTTCTGTGGGTTTGAGCATCAGGAGATGAAGGAATTAGCCATCTTGCTAACAACCATGGCAGAGCCTTTTAAAGGACAATAAATTCTCAAGCCTCACTTTCTAATAACTTTTGGAAATTGCCTATTAACCATCTTAAAGCTATTAGAGACCTTCAGAACAACAAGTTTGAAAAGTCACTGAGTGAGTTTAGCTTCAACTCTCAGCTAAAGAAAAATTAATTACAAGCTTAAGAACTTAAAGAA